AAGAACTGGATACAAAACTTTGTACAAAGTGGATCCAATGCACCGAAACTCAGACACGAAGATGTGGTTTTACCAAAAGTGGAGTATCTCCAGCGGTATGTAATTGCACCTTCTGTTTTACAATAATCTATCATTTGAGAATAAAGGAAAATTTGATGGCAAGTACAGGAAAGTTGGCGACAAAGCATTGGTTTCTTGACAACAATCAACTGCATCCTTTTAATTCATTAAAATTGAAATGAAAAATAAATGAGTTTCCAAATGCTTTTCATTAAATTCAATATTTTGTGTTTTATTAAAAAGCTTGTTTTAATAATAAAAAAGGAAATTCATATTTTTTTTAAACAAATACGTGTTTAACAAATGCTTTTGTTGCTGTTTTTTATACAAACAATTTGTTGACATATATATGTAAATAAATATATATGCATATATACTTATATATATACGTAGGTATATATTTTTTATATTTCTAATTAATAGAAAATATAAGCATTAAGAAAAATTAACGATAAATTCCTTTTTTTCTTTACTTTTTCATTTAACATTAATTTTATTTCTCTACTTGGAAAAAAATAATAATAAACTTCATTTTGATTTTACTTACACATATTGGGCGTCTGCATGATATGTCGGAACAGTTAAACAGCAAATATTAAACTCAGTTTCTTTGCTGTTTTTTTTTTCCTTTTCGACGCATCATGAAGATACCTATAGTTACTATACTTTTACGAACTAAGATACGATAAAGTCTTCATCCGTTCGTTCTACTAATAACAATTCCTCTAAACGTTCTAAACGTTGGCTAATCTCTTCTTTTTCTTTTTTTTCCAAATCGAAATTTCGTTTAAGCTCCTCGTTTTGTTTACGCAACTCCAGCAATTGACGGCAAATTTCCGGCAAGGTTAGTAAAGGTACAACTGTAGACGGACGTATTTTATTAGCAGAACTATTCAGAGGACTATTGCCGCTAGTAAACGGTTTCGTATCGCCGCCGTTACTGGCTCTATTGATGTTCCCATACTGTTTAATTGCCGGCTTTGCAATCTGCCGTATTTGTACGCTACCAATTTGCTCTATTTGTCTAGGGGGTATACCGACACGTATAGGTTGTTGTCGAACTGCGAGTGGTTGTATTATTTTCAGTGGCGGTGGTGATTTGGAGTTTTCCATTTCGACTTCTACACTCTCTAATGTTCCAATTTTGCTTACGGAAACACTGTCGTCAATTATGTTGTCTTCAACAAACGTAGAGGAGTTGGCGCTTGGGTTGGTAGCGTTGTTACCAATGTTTCTCTGCAGCTGAATATGCTAAAATAAGAGAAAACCAAAATATTTAAAAATAAATGGTAGTAATTATTTTGGTAACTAACTAAACAAAGGCAAAATGAAATGGAATCATGCTAAAAATTTTCGGTTTTACTTTAATAAAAAATTTTCTTTTCCTTAAGATGTTTTTATTAAAGCAAAAGGGTAGATAGATACCAAACAGTCTATTTCACAGTAATTATTGCAATGATATTTTTAACAAAAAAATACTACTGACCTGCTGTTGTTGCTGCTGTTTAGGATGCACTGGTTCTATCTTTACTAAGCGATTGCTAAAAATAATGATTTTTTTAAAAAGAGAAACAAGGAAAGAATTATATTCAGCTTATAATTAACATTTTAATATCGATCAATCGATTGTCTTCATTTCGGTTATTTTATTTTTTAATATACGCATTTGAAAACTAAAAGAATCAAATGTATATGGGAGCAATATAACTGCAACGGGACATGTAAGCTAAATCAACATATTACACTGCTGTATACAACATCATAAGATGCTGCAATAACTTCGCAATAAGACGTTTTTCAAATATAAAGTAGCGTAACGTAAGTCACTTATCAACTCAAAGCGCACAGATTACAATGCTATAAACACGTTAAGATGTGACCTTCGAATATCGTAGATGTCCAATTTGAGTTTTTCATTTTATATTTAAGTTTGATTTAACGCAGTTAGAATGAGAGGGGTCTTAAGATGAGATTCGCTATTCGAAAAAAACACTTAAGGACGTAATCGTGATTTCGCTTAATTGCTCCCATCATTTATACTTATGCTTTCGAAATATTAATAAATTCTCGTCGACGGCTTACCTTGCTAATGAAGTTGGTATCTGTTGCAAAGTTTTTACGTTTGTATTACCACAAAATTTTCTAAAATCATTAAAAGACATAATACGGATATTCTGTAAAGAAATTGTTAGATGAATGACTTTTTGCTGCCTGTTGTTTTTTCTTTTTCCTTTTCCTCTCACCTTATTTTTATTGATTGATGTATTGTCTTTAACTCTTGACAGAATATTCGGCTTCCCTTTATTTAACTGTTGTTGAGGCGGTATTTGAGTTATTGTATTTTTTAAATTCTCATTTTGGACGCGTACAGGTACTATAGTTTTGCTGTTATTAATGTCGTTGCTAATATTACATTTATTGTTATTATTACTATTGTTGTTGTTAAGGTTATTGCTGTTACTGTTAGGGTTTATGCTGTTATTGTTAGGATTTTGATTATCTTGTATTTTCTTGGTTTCATTTAGCAGCAATTTACCGCCTTCTGATAAAATCAGTTGGCGACCATTCTGTAAGGCAGTATTAAATAAATCTTTAGATGTATCATCATCGGGCATCATAGAAATGCCATGAGATTTCAAAAGATTTATAGTTGAATCACCCAAAATGCCAGTTTCTAATAAAACGAGGAAAAAAGGATTAAAAATTTTGTTAATTTTCAAAATCCTGTCCGACCCACCTTTAATGTTTTCTAAATCAGCTATATTGGTTGTAGCATAATCACTTTGATTTGTCAAATCGTCATCATTGTCAATTTTACGCACTACTTCCTCCGCTACGCTAATAGGTATACCCATTATTGAATTTACAGCATCTGAGGTTTCCTTCTGGAAAATTTTTAGAACAAGAATGTATTTGTTTTTTGTTTAATAAAAATTAATTTGCTTTTTATCATAAAGCAAAATAATTAAATTACATACACGAATGCTATAAACATCTATTCGCCGATGATTGGCAAGCCGTTAATTTATTGTATTATTTTTAACAGTTTTTTCAGTAATTTAGAATCACAAGTTAATTAAAAGTTAAATTAAAAGTAATGTAATTATATCAAGTGGTTGCATATCTGACCAAAATTTAAAATCTATTCGGAAGCGGTAGGAAGTTAATTTTTTCATTTAGTTCTAATATACTTCGCATAAAAACTATTATTCATTTTTCGACACAATACAGAGTTGCATAAACGTTAAATAGCAACAGTATCTCTGTAGTACTAGTGTGGATGTCAACAAAACCAGAAGCGACCAAGAAGAGGTAACATTTCTAGCATTTTTATCTGATGGACGTTCCTGTTACCCATATTACACTCTAAATTAATCCATTAGGGAAAAATAGCGTACATCTCATAATTGACTAAAACAAACCAACTCGATCGACTTATTACTCGCTTGAAGCACAGAGCAATATATAAAAAATAAAGAATTTTCCTAAAAATTTCAAACCTTTAACGAATTCCAATATAAAATCTGATTTAAAAAAATTCTGTTATTACCTAAACAAGCTACATAAAAAGGATATTTTTCTTCTAGTCTTTAAATATTCCTGATGGCAAAAATTAAGGTATCGTCTTCAAACATTGTAGCTTCTTCCACGCAGACGTTGAAAATGACTAGAACTATCAGAGATCATATGCCCAGTGCATCATGAACCGAGAATATTTTTGTTTTCAAAAGCAAAACAACGCATTTTTTGTCCATTATTCCGGAAATCTAACAGCTACGATGATATATATATATAAATACTTTTCCGTATTTTCTAGTAATGATCCTGCAACGCTTATATAAAAGAAATCCGATCGCGTTCATTCAGTATTTATCAGTTGTTCTTAAGAGACTATTGGTGGACATGAACGATTCAAACGATCAAAACTGAATATAGTTTATTTATTTCCTCAAATCAAAACAAAACAAAACATTCATAAAGATTTGCCGTTGACGAAAATATCATTAACAATTTCGTCTGTTTCAAAGACACATCGTTAACCAAGATCACTTCACGATTCACTTCCTTCGGGTAAACGATTTGGTCTTTAAGTCGATTACTGTCATTGAATCGAGCCAGTTTATGGTTCTAACACGAGTTGCTTAAAGAACACGGTTTTTATCATTACAGACTTTGGTCAAATTTAACATTTTTCGTAAAGATTCCTCTCCATCGTTACAAATTTTCGTTGTCTTTAAGCAGTAAATTATTTAATACCTTATCATAATAAGGAATAGAAGGATTATGTAAAATTAAGGGTTAGTGAGTCTATGCTTATCGCTTGTTTATTGTAGCTGCGACAAAAGAAAGATACGAACAGTATTTCTTTTGTAAGAAAGGTAAATGTATTTACATCAGAACATGTTTTGATCAGTTTTGTGTTCTGAATCGATTAGACTATATTCGTGTATTCTCGCCTTATGTGAGAGAAATACATTCAATAGAAAAAATTTTTTGCGTTTTTACCACCAATGCACTTGTAAGGCTTTATTTAAAAAAGGGCGGATAACAAAGTCGATACCAGCACTCATCACAATAAACCTGCATGGCTTATATTTGCTATGGCTTTCAATTCAAGTTTGAGGTAGAACTTTGAACCCCCATAATGATAAGGTGCTTTTAATCGTATTCTAGACAGATTTTTTTTTTTTTTTGTAAATCAGCTTAATAATTTCTAGCATTACTTACTTCATTTTCTTCGTTGAATTTACGATTGAGTTGGGCTTGTTTGGCCACCTCTAATTCCTCTAATATGTCAGCCTGTTCAGTTAATACAGCCAAACCTACTGGTGTGCGACCAAACTTTGACGCTAAGGTCACATCGGCATTATGTTTTAGCAAAAGTCGAACTATAGTTTTGAATCGCTTTTCCACAGCCCAATGTAGGGGAGTCATTTTTAACTAAAATTAATTTAAAAACCAATTTTTACTATATAAAATAAATTTTTTCATTTTTATTAATTTCATATAACTTGCCATATCCTTAGGATTTGTCAGACATTTCTTCGACAACAAAAGTTCGACAATACTTTCATTTCCATAATAACAGGCTAGATGCAAAGGAGTGCGATCCACTTTAGTTTTAGAATCTTTATTAATACCGCCATTCAATAAAACCTGACAAATTTCATACTGATTGTTCATAGCAGCAAAGTGCAAAGCAGACATGCCCAACTTGTTTAAGAAGAGAAAAGCAAAAAAAAAAAAAATAAAAAAAAAAAAACACTTAAACCTGTTGCTTCTCTTTTTACATTTCACATTTTCAATACAAACCCAATCCGAAGTAAATGGCGCACCACGAGATAAGGCATTTTTAACGCCTTTTAAGTCCGAGTCACGAGCAAATTGCAGCAACTGTTTTCCTAAATCAACTACAGTAGTACTGAGAGAATTCGGTGGCTTATTGTAAACATCACATTCAGTGCGCTTAAAAAAGACATTAAAAATAGTATAGCAAAAGCGAGAAAGCTGCGCAAGTCCTTTTCACTTACTATTTTGTAATTCATTAAATTGGCCAATTGTGTGATTGAAGCACCGTCAGGCGTCGAAATGACTTTAAAATCGCCTCGCAAGGTAGCCACAATCTTATTACCACCATTGTCGCCGCCACCAACCATTTTCTTAACGTTAATTGTCGAGTTTTTTTATAACAATTCTATTAACGCTGCATTAAATTATGAGAATTTCACTTTTTTTTTTTATTCAAAAATTAAAAATATTAAAGGAAAAGGAAACAAACGCATTACACTTCAAGCCTTTTTTGGTTTCTCTCGCATCACTTTTTTGGTGAGTTTTACATTTCTTTGCTTTTCCATTGTTGTTCGTAAATGTAAAAATTTCTCCAGGGTTACCCATCTTCCAAACATTTCGACTGTACATTCCCCATTTCAATGGTGAAATTTCATATGAATTTAATAAAAATCTCATCCTTGAATTGTTTGCAAAAAATTGTAAAATTTTCACAAATTATTTAGAAGGACAAACAAACATAAGACTTGAACATTTTTTTATATTCCTTGTAACCAATATATGCAATTTATTAAAACTGCTGTTCTTTATACCTAAAACATCCAACCATGAATGATTTTCTACTCTATGGCAATGAACTGAACAAGGAAAAGCGGAAATTCCTTTAAAAAACCCTTGATAAATCTATGTGTCAACTCCTAATAGTACTTCGTATAGTATTTATAAAATGGCGTAAAATTATAGTAAACAATAAGCTGCGCATGCTACCACAAACTGGCTAATAATCTCTAACCTTACACTACCGTTTCCATATCCGTCCACCAACGGAAGTAAATGCTTTCCAAAATTACGAACAATTACACTTACCTTGAAATAAAGTGAAATTGTTTTATCAATTTGGAACCGTCCTATAATGATTTACTCTGAAAATTCCTCTTCAGTGTTTATAAAAATATTATATTGTACGCGAGCTCAACTTACGCTACGACAAGCAAAATAAGATTTTATGTTGTTTTTGATTTGTTCGTATTTTGGATTTTCATGTTCTCTTTTATACTTTATTCCTTTATAGTTTTGTAATGTTGCCAAGAGTACAAAAACAGGTTTCCACACGGGTATGCAATCTAAAGAAAATGATATTAATTGTTTTTTATATAAAGCATTGCGTGCATAATTTTGATTATGCTACACTTGGCACTTGTACAAAATCTATATACAGTTACATTTTGGAACTATAATCTTTAGCTACATTCGTCTAGGGAATCCCATGCATGAATACCTAATAATCGTATTCAATAGTAAAAAATACTATTTAATAGAATCTGCATTAAACTATTTCTACTTTTTATTTTAAGTAAAGGATGGTAGATCTTTAACTAATTAATATGCAAATACGTCTAATATTTACTCTGGTAATACTAGACCCCATCTCTGGACAGGGCTGTTCTCACTTTGAAGATTATGCTTCAACCAAGTCCTATTGCTCTTGGTTTTTCAAAGAAACATAATATATTTTTGAGATCATAATCATAATTTCAATAGAGTAATATACTTTTGTTGTACAGAACTGCATTATGAAAGCGCGTACATTTATAAAGCTTCTCACAGAATCAAATATTATGTCAAAACTGCTTTATACTTACAAAGTTTTAAGTTGAAAGGGCTGAGCGAACTAGGCCTATTCAAAATAGGTCAATAAAAAAAAGGCGTACCTTAAGGAAAATTTGTAAAAATATACTTTTGAATCTGACATTCAGTGCCAATACGAGTATACAATTTCCGTAGGATGCGTCGATGCATTCTACATAGGTTTATGTAGGGAATATCGGCGATCTGAATGAAATGTAAACAATTAAAACTGCTAATCTACTATGTACTGTAACGAAAGGTTTAATTCATAGAATGTCACGATAGAAAATTTTTATTAGTATTCGAACCCCAAAATAGCAAAACAAATTAAAAATGAGGGTGTCTGAATTAATTCTTGGAAAGATTCGCTCAGTCAAATGGTAGGAGGTCGCAACGCATAGACGAGCGTGGTGCTATAAAGCTCGCTAGTTCGGCAGTAATGGATCGATTTCACTCTTTAATCCAGCAGACACTTCTCGTTCGACTACATTCGGGAAATGCACGCTTAAAAGTTCTTATAGAAACGGTTAAACGCACAGAACTTACCGGGCGAGTTGACCTATTGTCTTGGGCTACGCTATATGCTGCCCTACCTACAATCTTCTTTCGCCCACGATTTTTTATAAGAGATCCCGAAGTTGGGTTAATAGATATAAATGAATGTTAAATTTTATGTAATTTTTTTTTAAATCATAGGATAAATTTCAAAGTTGAAAAATTAGGTTACAATAGTACACGGAATAATAATAAAAATGTGAACCAACATACGATATAAGACTAAGAAATACCAACAAATACGGTCAAATAGTTGATGATAGTTTGCAGTTAACGATATGATAACGCCACGTCTAGCATGTATATGCAGAAACTGTTACCTTCTCCCTTAAAAGTTGCCGCAAAAGGTTTGCATATAATTTTTTTGATGTAATACATGCATCAAATATGTCTATAAATAATATAAATAATTGCCTATTGTCTAATTTTACAATCTTTGTACTTGTTCTGATCTTTATGGATGGCTTTTATTAATTTTTTCTTTACTTTTTGTTACTCGAACATGTAAAAATGTTTTTAATCTAGTTTAAACTATATTTTAAAATACAAGTTGTTTTTATAAATTTCTTAGGAAATGTTTGTGGTTATTCTCAGAATGCAGTAAGTGCTCTTTATGGGTTCATACGCGTGTGTACATAATTTACTAATATGATTTAATATATTAAATTTATTAGAATTTGGATGATAGCATTTTTTTTTTTTTCTGTTTAGTTGAATTTAATAGGTAGATAGTTAACATTGCCGTTTTCATAATTGTATCCAAAAATAGTATTTAATTATTTAATAAGTTAATGCAAAAGCAATTTATAGGCAAAGACCATACTTTCAAATGAAAGTATTTTCACTTTTCTCTTTCTTTGCACATGGAAGGAACGACCACCACCACGATTTTTTCTGTTTCACAATACGATTTTCAAAAATAATAAACTTCCCTTGCATGCACATGTGTTTTTAAGTTTCACGGCAAAACGTTTTATGGTTATATCATGAAGATATTCATATATAGTACACCTTTTCTTTCCCTCGCAAATTATCTGTGGTTTAAAGAAACTTTTAGCCATCTGGTTTTATAAGAATTCGTTTTAATATATCCTGTTTTTTCTAAGGAATACAATCAAACGAGATCATATCTAAACGCGAATCTCTTCTTCACCAATCCAAAAACCTAAAAGCAAAAAACCTTCACTCAAGCATTATAAATTTAATTTTTTACGACTGCCGAATCTCGCAATAGAAGCGAACACACTCACACGGGGTCGCAAAAATAACAAATTTCACAGTGTACTGTGGGCATCGAACTTGCAGCGGAGAAGCTTTCTCCTGTTGTTCTACTTCAAAAGAAATTTGAAAAATGATTAAGTTACATCCTTTGTTTAAAGATCTAATAATGTCTAATTATCTAACCAGTGACAAAAAATTCATGGTTTAAATACGCATTTAATTCATAAACGAAATGCATATGGAAACCATCAAAAGATTCGATATAATGTTTCCAAGTCCAGTAAGGCGCACAAACTAGGATATAAATACATGTACAGTTAATTTTAAGGATTTTCCGAATATGAAAAATTGGTTCGTTTTTCCTTCCTTGTTAGGCCGTCTTTCTGTCAGTTCTGACATTCCCAAGGACAATTTCGAATTTAGAACTTGCACACTGAATGATGTTATCAACAAACAATCTAGTCCAGCAAGTCCAATGTTGTATATAACAATGTCAGTATAAAATTCCTAAAGTTACTACTGCCAAACATACTCTTGTCTATCACGAACATGTTCAATCGCAAATTTACGACTTGCATTTGTCCTGATAGTTGGAAAATGACTATGATCACTTATCCAAAGTTTTTGAACGGCTTGTTGTGACTCAAATAGGGTACATCTAGAAAAGTATAACCTACTGCGTGTAGACGAATCAGCCCATAAATCCTCACACAGCTGTAATACTGTTATATTAAAGTCCTCGATGATATTCGTCCAGCGTATGAGAGCGATGAAGTTGCAATTGTGATCATTATAGATTTTTCTAAGACTTTTGACACACTTGACCGCTACTGATTATTAAAAAAAACTTAATCTATATTTTGATTTTGGCGAGTATGCTAGCAAGTTAGTGAAGTCATATCTTCGGAATGGTTACCAGTGTGTGAAAGTTAATCAATCATTGTCTACTCTCCGCGAAATATCCTGTGGTGTACCTCGAGGCTCAATAATGGGGCCGATTTAACAAACATTAAACATAATCTCAATGATTCGGTAACCAGGTAGGTTTTATTGAAAACCTAAACGGATAACGGATAACGGATCGAACGGATGATCTACGCAATATTGGTCTAATGAGAACAGTCTATGATTAAATTCAACTAACGCTAAAGATATTGCTATATCTCGTGGTGCATTGGATGTTGCTTCCCTATCCAAGCTAATAATGGCGAATATTAATGTTGAATTTGTCAGTGTTATTTTTAATCTAGGATTCAAGCTGAATTCTACGCTCTGAAAACGCTTGTGATCACATTAATTATATAACTGTGAGGAATTATAACATTTAAGAAACCTACAATTGTCACCCTACTATGTACTTAGTAACACTAAGTTGCAACGAATTAAATACCTTATAGTCCCTCTCATATCCTATAGTGTTAAAGTGTATGGCAATCGTGATTATACCTCAAGAAACATATTAGGGCTTGCCATCAATAAGTGTGCCTGATATGTGTGTAACAAGAGAAACTACGATCTTAACTCTCACTGGGAATTCTGGGATTAAATTTACTTTCGCACTTAGATGTAGGCAATCTTGTCTTTATTCATATGATGAGGAGATCAGGAGCCCAAGTATCTTTATGACAAGTTGACGTGTGCTACATCTAAAAGAACTATGAGTCTGATTTTACCAGAACACAGACAGTCCACATCTTCAAGACTGCTTTTTTATTCATACTGTGAAGTTGTGGATGAGCTCACCTACTTCGTCTTCTTCTTTTAAGCGGAAAATAACTACGATTTTTGGTTTTAAGCATTTTTGAATATTTTTTTTATAACTATCGCTAAAGGAACGGTATATATTTGTTATGTCCAAATGTTGGCAACGCCAAGAAGGAAACTTCAGAGACCTCACAAAGTATATATATTCTTGATTAGCATCAAATTCTGAATCGATTTAAGCATGCTCGTCTGTCTATCTGATGTCCATCCGCCTGTACAATGTTCATTGGAAACATTCTCCTGGCCGCAAAAATGAAGCTATCGACTTCAAATTGGGCAGAAATATCGGAAGTTCTTTTACGCAGATTAGTGTCGAAAATGGGCCAAATTAGTCGCAATACACGTCTACAGTGCTACTTAACCTGGGGACACCTCTGTTATTCAATAGAAATAAAAAAATTACTCTTTCGCTTTGACAGTTTTTTTAGATGCTATAGTATCTGTACAAAAATGGAAAAAATTGACCACGCCTTCTTAATTTTATAGTGTTTCAGAATTTCGTTTTTTATTCAAAACGAACAGAAGCAAACTTAAAAAACTCCCCTACACCCTGTGACGGTCTCTTTTCGTGCTTCAGCATTCAATTAACCCTTTTTTGTGAATTGTTGATTTCAGTTACATCCCTTTTAGAATGAGTATCATTTATAGTACAAGAAAAAGGAATACCTAACAAGAAAGCAAAAAATTATAAACTTATCTTATTGCCAGCTCAGACTAAACCAATTATAGTACGCCACAGGTTTGACCTTTACTATCTCGATTGTGTTTCCATTTGTCTACCATAGTTATTCAGAAATTTCTTTCTTATCGGTTGAACCAATGTTGTATATTTTAAATAGATTTGTTTATGAAAATATTCAGAGTTATATTGTGGTTATGTTGACATTTACATAACACTTCATTTTTTTGTTTATATTTTATTTTATATTCACAGGTAAGTATATATATATTTAAGTGTTTCTTTATTCAATTCTATCGTTACATACAACTATTTATTTTCTTATATGCATCAACCTTATTTTTATATTTAGATTCAAATGTATATTAAATATTTATGTGTTACGTCTTATTCCTTACGACTTATTCTTCTATGTGTTTGTCACTTAAATTTTTTTTATGTCTTATGTCTTATATACAAGTACAAGTAAAGAGAAGGGTAAAGAAAACAACAAGAACAGATCTAACTTGAAACAGTGAAATGCGTTAAGAAGATTTTATATGTATCGATATTTTCAAAATACCAGCAACTCTAGCGTAAGATGATTAAATTGAAACAACCCAAGGTCATATATTCCTTCAAACAGCTCATCATACATTATGGAAAACAGGTATAAAATAACCAAGATTTCCATTGAAAGCACACATCACGTCGCGAAGGTTGAAATCAGCTAACGCAAGAATGTGCATATAATAGTGAATACAAAAAATCTGAACGTTATGAATACATGGCTTAAAGCATAAATATAATTACAAGAAATTCACAGTTACTGAGTGAAGAAGCATAGTCAATAATTTTAACGTCAGATTGTGAACACTTCGATAACGAAGGGAGATAGAGTGACTTAGCTTTTTGAAACGCTATCAAGTTGATTAAGATTTGTTACAGGTCTAGATCGTCTACAAGGGACAAAGTTCCTAACGAAACAACCCTCAAACCAATACCATTTATCCATTATATGGCACAAATTAGTTGGCACAAGTTTCTTAAATGAGGTAATGTTCCCTGGTTGAAGAAAAACGAATTTAGAGATGTTAATCTTGCTAAAATCGCAAACAGGAAATTTAGCCTTAATATAATCCTTAAGCTTCTCAACAGATGTAATAGCAGCCAGACGAGATTGAAATGCTGATGCCCAAGCGGGAACCACTATCAACAAGTTAGGAACAGCACTATCTATACCGGTCACTGTAAGATTCGAACTAGAGATTTGAACCTGTGTGCCGTTAGTTTGACTCTTATTTGTAAATGAAGACTTAAACTTTGAAACAGTAAAACCACCGATAATCGATGGCCAAGCCGAATCTTTGTCTTCGCTAACTATGCGGTTGGCGACACCCCTCGACATATCCGGCGAAGGGTATTCGCTCCAATCTTCACCTGATGGAAGATAGGGGTTGACGTGACAAACAGCAGACGTTAACATCAACCCATCATTCGCCAAGTCAGTCTGATTGAGCGCCTGCGAAAGAGCCAAAGGCCCACTAGAATACAAAGTCAAAGCAGTAGGGAGATTATTAGACATTGATGATGCCATCGCTTGCTGACACGAATCGCATATATCACTTGTTATGAAGGTACCAGCAATCGCTTTCTTATAACCACAACTGATGGAGACATTAGTTACATCAACAACTTCCAGATTCGTCGCTTACTGTTTGCACTGTTGTACTGCACTGCTGGCACATCTCCAAGCATTGGCACCCTTCAAAAGCGATACATAATTCAAACAGCATGTTTAATTACCGAAAGCACTTTATAATTTTCCGAAAGGTGATGTGTGAAGATTTAAGTTCTTTTGCTTACAATCCATAAAAGATTAGGATATACCTTTAGATTTGTCCATGATAGCATTGAATGTACGGATATTTTTGACGGCATATTTCTCACAACACAGGCACACCGAATATCGTTCACCAACATTTTTAGTTTTACAATTAGGTTGTGCACAATACATATTTCTGTCGATTATACAGGAAATGATAAAGTCCGTCCATCTGCAACGAATGCTGTTATACAAAATCTAATTGTGTCGTTATTTTCATGGCTGAGATGAATGTTGCAATCTTTATTATTGTTACGCCCTACATAATGGAAGCAATAGCACTCCCGCACTCAAACACAAGTTTACAACTACTTAATGGAATATAGATCCGCTTGAAAAAGATAAATGTACTTAATTACCAAATATTTTACAAAAATTCACAAAAAAAATTTCATTCACGTACAAAGCGGACAAATCAAACCGCACAGGGTTGCCAGTCTATTATGGTTTTTCCAATACTTTATAGACAGGCTGTTTTACAGAAACCTGTAAGAAAATGTTTTTTTCCTCTCCAATGATTTTTTCTCTTAATGCTGGTCTTTTTCTTCTATGCTGGATGTCCTTCTCTACATTACCATTAAAAAGCCACGATCATTTTCAAGGACTTTTTAGTTTGAAGAAAAAAGAGAAATTTATTCTCTTTATTTTATTGTCTTAGAGATTTTATTGTTATTGCTTTGGTCAGTTTGACAATCTTTCCCACAATCAATCACCGTTGCATGTATAGAGGCTTAAAGCAGACTGACTCGTTTCTCTTTTCGCGATTCTAACGAAACCCAACCTCATAATCTACGAGCAAACTTCGGACACTCTTTCTTTTTAGAAATCTCTTTCTCACTATTGTTGGTTAGTTTCTTTACTTACTAACATCAAAAGAAAGGTTTATAAAATGAAAATGAATGATCAGCGGCAATTCGTGATTTCAACTGAACCGGTCATTCCATTTCTCACAGAAACTATGGTAGTAACAGATAGATACACCCCATACGGCCTACGTATGCGGACGGCACAAAGTATAGTTTTCAAAGTTGCCAATTAAAAATATGAAAAACAAACATCATGAAGCAGTGACTTTTTTTGTCTATTTTGGGCCAACGAAAAAATTGTTTAGAAACATTTCATATTGTAAGCGAAAATGGCCGCGGAACAACCGCCATGAACGGATAATGGATAAAGTAAAAATTGCTGGGTGAGATTGCTAACGACTTAAACATAAATATATATAAATTAAATTTATCGCGGTCTCATTGTCTTTGTATCTTATGGTGATATAGCGGTCAGCACAAATTATAGTTTCCGGGTCTCGTGAATTATTATATATCTATCATTTATTAGTTGCGTCACCAACGGTACTCCAAGTAACAATCGTAGTAAAGTGAGCGAAGCCGAACTAATCCTCAAGCTTAACATGCTTGAAAATTTTACGTATGCATGCAGATTGCTTTTAATGTCTTCAATTTGAATTTCAAAGCTTAATAACTGAGCAAAGAGTTCTAGCATAATAATTTATTGAAGATTTCCTCATTTATTTTTAGGAATTGCGTTTGCTGGCATCTCTATTAAATGGGGAAGATTAATATTTCTGGCAGCTTTATCTTTATTCTGTATTTGATAAAGAATATTATTCAAAACCATCATTTTTGTTACGCTAATCAGTGTACTAAGAAAAACATCCTCTACTAAAAAATATAGATGGTATAGTGCTCATGGTTAAATATTAGGAGAATATACATAAATTGTTTTATTAAAGTTTCGGAACATTGTATCAAGAAAGTGATTATGGAAATATTTTATCAACAAAATATTGTGCTAACAAACGATAGCAGGGACTATGATTCCTCTGCGTATAGTAGTAGTGCAACAACGTCTTCCTTATCTAATTGTTCGTCAATATCGTTACCACCATTAATTAAAACGTCGGACGGTCATAACACAACAAAGGCTTTAGTACCTTTAGCCGCATTAGAACGCGATGAAACTTTGCAATATAGTGGCGCAGGAGAATTAGTTTCGCAAACTATAGCTGAGCAGCAACAACAGCAACAGCAGGTTAATCAACAGGTGCTACACCAATTAGGTTTTAATGTATACGATGACAACAATGTAGATTTAGCCTGTAGTGCAATACCTACATATAAAAATCTACAAGAGGATGAGTATACCAATAATTTATTGAGTATGCCTGATATAAATAATATCTTTATTCAAGATGACTCTATATTGAACTATTTAAATTACTCTATAGAAATGACCGATACATATTCACCGACATCATCACCATCATCATCATCATCATCATCATCATCAACCATTTTAACTAAGCAATCATTGTCATCACCATTAGCGACGGATAATTCATCAATAAACACAACAGAATCGAACACCCTATTAGCCTTATCTACGCCAACAAATAACATTAACTACCACGAACTACGAGTTTCTGATACAAACGGTAATGATACCACAGTCCCCTCGTACCATAGTACGGCCAGTAAAGAGAACGTTTGTCTTAAATTTGAGTATGCTTTCGAAAATCAAAAACTTGTACAAATACAACCACCCGTCGTAGTGACTGATATAACAACAGAGTCTTCGGCGGTGTCATCATATGATACACTAAATAATGCTATGCCAATATTAGAGGCCAATACGAATCCATCATATATGAATCTTGCTAATGACAGGTAGTTTTTGTACGGATTTTCTATGCATTATTTTCTTTCTTTGTACCAATTATTGCCGTTTCAACAGACGCTTTTAGCTTTTTTTTTTTTGTTTTATTCTTTAAATTTTTAACCGTTTGCTTATAACTGACGTTGCATGTAAACAGTTTAGCTTTCACATGTCAATTTATTTCCTAACGCATTCTTCCAATAAATCAATTTAATTGCCTTCTTCTTCAAACATTTAAAAGCATTTTCCTATATTAATAATAATTCTACGCATCATAAATAAATCCGCAGGGAGAAATAAAAAATTTAAATTTCAATTGAGAAAATCACATATGAACATATCTAAAAATATAAACCTTTTATACACAAATAAATACACATATATACATGAATTTAACCGAACATATATATATATATATATATATATAATATGGAATGGAAAAGTAATAGTGTTAAATATTGTACAGTAGGGTAGAGCAAATATGAACAAAATTGATAGGAACAAAGTCGTAAGCAAATCACAGGCGAAACACAACAACAATACCAACTGTAAACGTGTATTAAAAATGAATGTTTAGGAAAATTTTGAATGCATTCATCATAGAGAAACTAAAAATAGATTACATTTTGGGAGACGTTATTGTAGATACGTTCGCATAATATTTAAAAATGGAAATACAAAACGCCAAATTAATACTATCTTTGGAAAAAATATTGTCTGTTTGTTATATGCATACTAAGCAACCATAACGACATTGGTACATTGACACTGGTTTATAATATCATCAAAAAACAAACCATTTACTCAAAAAATGAATTAAAAATTGCTCTCTAACAAAGCATGAATAATTTTCTAAAATATTCAAAATATATTTCACATATGTATATATATATATATATATATATATGTACATTTACATGCGTGTACGGTGCATCTGTATTCAGCTAATTTATATCTTTGGGGGCGTTAACAGACATTTGTCTGTTGCAGTATGTGCATTACCATTCCCATCATCATCATCAGCACCATCACAGTGCCTTCGGACACATGTTCAAATTCGTTATCGAGAATAATTGATGATTGCTGGCTCGGCAAAGGCAAAAATTTTGAGTAAATTTTTATTATTTTGGCAATTACATATATATAAAATGTATATGTAATGTATAAAAGTATGCATGTAAAAAAAAAAAAGACGAAAAAGAATAGAATATGTAAGGGTCAGATCGAATTTGTTAGTACCTTTTATTTGATGTTTTTCTTTATTTAATTTCTCTTTTTTTTTATATTAAATAACTGGTGCATTATTTAATCGCCACCTAATACAACTGACGGACTGCCGCATTAGTAACAAACAGAATCTTATGCATATATCAGTAGAGAAATTCAAGTAAATTCCAAATAGAAAAAGTTTTGAAATAGTCGGTACTGAGATTGCATTTTACGTTTGCCTATCGTTTGTTAAATGTCTATCGGAATGGATTCATTCCACTCGACTAGTGATTGGCCCCAGTCAAAGGCGAAATATCCTGGAGGCCCCAAATGGCTGCGTGAATGAATGAATTTCCTTAGCCTTCCGAGAAATACCTTTGAATTAAATACTGTACACGATTTCAGTAGACCTATAAATGTTTCTCTATTCCGCAGTTCACGCGTTGATTAAAAGCGCATTTTACCAAGATTTTGATATGAATTTTTATGCATTTGACAACTATGCCACAGACACATCTGCCGTAATGGATATAGGAATATGTAATAATTTAATTGTGTGAATTTTGAAAAACATATTCATGTTCGAGGCATTATATTATTATGCATGCACATATAAATCAATCTGATAAGTGTGTGGGTTGGTTTTGCTAGTGTACAATAACATAGTTTATAAAAACTAACCTATGCCATGAATGCTTCTATGTAATTACGTAAATCAAAAAATTTCGCATAATTAATCAAATGAAAAAGACATCTGTTTGATATATGGTAGATCTTGAGCCATTAAAAACCTAGTAAATAAAATCTAAAAGGTAATACGGTGAACAATAATTTCAAAGACATTAATACTTCCTGATTATTTTGCTACTTGAAGGTGAACTAAGCTTAAGAAGGTGTGGTAGGATGCGAAAAATGCAGTCATTCAAACATTACACTATTGTGTGTTAATTTACTACTACTAAAAGAAAACATAAGCAAAACATAACATCGGCTCGATCATTAGATTAATTGATAAATCCTTGGCAAGAAACGAAACCCATTTATAATCGGAAAATAACTTAATAATTACATATATATATATATATGTCCTATCCTAAGCTTAGTAGGTTTCTCTAAACGATTTCTCCATTTCCCCATTCTATTATTGTGGCGATTTTCTCAAAGCCTCTCAAATTCCTCGTCCATTATTGATACAAATTCTTTACTTAATCGAAAGTATTGTGCGTAAAGTTCTGATGGTCAGTGAGCCCATAACTGGCAAACATCATGAAAGTGCTTTCAATTGTTCAGCTTGATCAATCTAATAGCTATGTTCCGGGACCTTGCAAAAAATTTTCTCTTTTTTTTTTTTTTTTTGTCACCACACATAGTCAGTCACTTGTCGCCTTTTGTATCCGAAATTAAATGATGTCCACAACCTTGTAAATGAATTTAGATCGATAATCATACTTAATAGATTTTGCAGTTTTCATGAACGCGAAATTTTTGTAAATGCAAATGGTCAATAGGATCATTTAGCCCCGATTCAAGGTAAAAGAGAAGGTACTCATCATCACTTCTCGTATATTATAGCTTTTCTTTTTTGAACACTTCTCTCCAGATAAATAAATTGTGTGGTCAATAAGGTTCCTCTTCTACATGTACAAATCAATGTTGCGTAAAAAATGCTAAAACGTTACTTTACTCATATGATCTGACACGAGAGTAAAGTGCTCTTTTATTTGTGGCTATGAATAACTACGAAAAAAAAGAAGATATATCCGGCATTACCTGAGGAGTACGAACGGGCATTCGTCGAGTCGGAAAGTTATGCTCTGGTCCGAGCTTCCCTTTGATCTTGCATAGGCCCGATCAATACAATCGAAAATCGAAGAATGTATAACTGAATTGTCAACGATTCTGGAAAAGATTTGTGTATCAATTTTGTGCACTAACATCCGAAAGAGATTCTCAGCTATCGTTTCTCATTTTCGATTAATGCGTGTTTTCAAACGTTACAACTAGTGAGAGAAAATCGAATATACTCGAATGTTTCAAATCCGAACACTTTAAAATGCAATAATTAAATAATATATTTTTGGGAGTCGCCCATCAGTAGCACCAGTAGCAATTAGCATAATTGCACAAAATCAATTCAATGATTCAATGCTTTGCTCTGTTCGTGTGATCAATCGGTATTCATTATGGGTTATTGATAATTGCTAATAAGCTATAGTCAGGCTATATGATAAGACTTAAGTATTTACGTTTTCATTACTTTCTACGCACTATGTATGTTTATATTTAATATCTTCCTAATCTAGCCGAGAGGCGAGCCTATTTTGTTTCATACTATTTTTTTGTATGAAACAGTAATTCTATCTTATTGAGATGATAGCTAGAATCAAAATAATGAATTGTCACGTTATTGGGCAAAGTCAATAATGGCGATTGTTACTCGTAGCTCAACATTACACCGAACTAGCTTTGCATTAATTTGTGCCGTCTTTCGTTAGGTAGATGTTGTTAGATTTTACGGCAGCGGTAATAATAGAAACGTAGGCCGTTCAACAGGTAACCAAAATTGTATAGAGATTAAAGAAATGTCGCGCCGACTTAGAAAGATGCCCATCATTTAGAAGCATGAAAATGAACACGTAGGGATGTTATTTTCGGGACGGGCTTAATCTATGCTTTTCGCATTCTACTCTCCACGTTCTCTTATTTGATACCCATATCGCTGGTATTATTTAAAAAAAAAATTAATCGCGGTGTCTACCATATTCGTTTCAAAATTAACCCATCTTTAGACAAATAATATATCTTCATTTGAAGAGTGTACAAAGTAGTTTTAAACGTTTTGTCACGTTTGCCTGATGATAAATAAGCATTAGACCTCAAAAAGGTGAAAAAAAAATAATTTGAATTATTTGTAACTTTGTGTGGGCATGGCCGATTCGTTCCATTTTTAGACCTAGAGAACAAAGGGTCTCACAAAGCAAACGTAAAAAGTTTTAGTTTTTTAACTTTAATAACGTTCGAGTAAAGAGCAAAAATCCAAAAAATTTTCATAGAAAAAACTAAGCTGCCTTCAGTTTACGCTCCATTGAGCGCTTCTGCTCTAACCAATTTGGCCCATTTTCAATACCAACCTGCGTTCAGAAGCTTTTAATGTTTTTTCAATGTGTTGAAGTTGACATCTTCATTTTGCGAGCAGGCGAGACACCGAGACGGACGGACATGGCTAAATCAACTCGAAAGATTTCATCCTGATCAAGAATGGAAAAAAAAAAGCAAAATGAGTATAGCAATGAAAATTGAAAAAACTGAATTTTATGAATATGGAAAGGGAGAAAGAACTTTTCCATCGTTTTGAAATAATAATAATAATAATAATAATGAAAAGTGTATATAATTGAATGAATCCGATCTAGTTAGTTTTTGAGGGATAATATGTAGAGCAATAATAAATTTATATAGACGCCTCCTAATGCGGTATTGATGTGGAAAAATTACGCTTCCGCCCGTTTGTTAATAATTTGTTTCGTTTTGCTTCTTAAGTTGTTTTTTTTTTTTTTTTTTTTTTTTTTTTTTCTTCTTCATTGTTGTAAACGTTTTCACTACCAACAACCTGAACTATAAACAAACAACAAAGTTTTATACTAAAAATAACTAAAAAATGCTCAGCATTATGTACAAATGCTTGTATAAAGATTTACATGCAAATATAAATTACAATTAAAGTTTTGTATAAATATTGAAGCAAAAAGTAAAAAAAAAAAAGAAAAAAAGTAAACAGATGTTGAATATATATACAAAAATTCTATAGAATATATCATTTGTAATTGATTGGTGATTAAATTGTAGTTACATGGAAGTAAATAACGAGCCTGATGAACTTTTATTTTGTATACGGCCAGGTGCCTTGCACAAACAGAAAGGAGAGCCAACTTACACAACAGTTTCTTTTGAGGTACTATATACAATATTTTCACTCTACCTACTACCATAACCCATACTATTACTAGCACTAGTATTATTACTACTACTACTACTACTACTACTACTACCAATATTACACCTCTTGATGCCATACTTACATTAATGCGGTGCATTCTCTAACCCTCTTTAGCTTTTTTAGTGCGAACAAAAACAAAAAAAAAAACCAAAAAATTAATAAATAAAAAATAAAAATGAAATACACTTCGAAAATGTAGTACATTAAGCGAATGAATGTTAAACCGTGCACACACGAGCGCACAATTAAAGGTATTCGAAACTTATTATGAATAAACTTGGATGTACTTTCCGAATGACATCTTACGCTTATCTGCTATCTAGTGGCCTTGTATGGTTAAACTTTTCTTTTTTGTTTCATTTAAATTTTTAGTTTGATTGGTATTATTGCTTTGGATGTCTTTCATGATTAATTTATTTTATTTTCATATACATTTACTTTTGCTTTCTTGTATTAATATATTCATATTGTTGTCCCACACTTAGAGCTCAGATGAATCGTTATCCCGTTACAAATGCAATTATGAGAACTGTTATCGAAGTTACAGCACGATCGGTAATCTAAGAACGCATTTAAAGACCCACAAGGGTAAGTTTAAAATTTCCATTTTGCCTTCAATTAATTCATATCAAATGAACTAAACGAAAATTGACAAGTAAGAAGTTCGGAAAACAAGATATTTGTATAATTAAAATCAGTTTTACAGGCTTCATATCCAGTCAATATCGATTTCATATTTCAGTTCACTCTAAATAATTGTTTTTTTTTTTTTTTTTTTTTTTTGGCTTTTATTTTTCATTTAAAATGTCAAACATTTGTTCAATTTTTCCCCGATCTTTTAAAAGCTGGATTTAGTTTGCAACATTATCCGTCAGTTTCCATCACTTTTTGGCAACAGTTGTACATGTCGGCCGTAAAGTGCCAAAAAGTGTGATTGTTCTGCATCTTAGTTGATCATCCCATTCAAGCGACACGGTAAAGTTTGTGTCCAAGTTAAGCGATATGGATCGTTTTCTTTTTGTTCTGTGAGTCCGCTAGTTAGCTTAAGAGATGCCTAATCAATCACCCGCAACTCAACATATACTGCAACCGACTCGCGCAACTAAGTACCAAATGCAAATTTTTGAGTGCCGAACTTTCCGAATTCGCACTGAGATACATATACACTGATATATATATATATATATATATATGTATGCATAATTTATTTAGCATCATTCCAAATATGTTATGTTTCAGAAGGTCGAGGAAATAAGGCTTATGAAAATATAATTTTTCAAACATAGGTCTATACTAGTAATATTATCGTTACTCGAAATTTTTGGAAGCGTTTCTCTCAAAAGACCCTCTTATTCAAGACGAAAAACGAAAGCAACATGCAAGTAACTCCAACAATTTGCATTCGAAATTTTTAAAGTTTCTTACAAAAATGTTCGAAATAAAATGACGAGTGATTTTCATTAACAAAGGATTGGCTTTTTTGGTTTGGTCGGCAAATCTTTTTGAAAATTGCAAAGCAATGCAATTGTTACCAGTTGTTGTTCATTTTATAAGAACGGAATCATCCATTAGAACAATTAGATTCGGATATCATTCAAGTTGCATACTTAATATGGAATTATCTTAATTAGGGATTAGTTCGATGAAAATTAAAATTTTTTCTTTTTATTTTGTTTATTTTTTGTTTAGGTGAATATCGTTTTAAATGTCCTGAGGACGGTTGCAGTAAAGCTTTTTTAACTTCATATAGTTTAAAGATACATATACGAGTTCATACGAAGGTTAAACCTTATGAATGTGACGTGGGTGGCTGCGAGAAGGCTTTCAATACGCGTTATCGGTAAGTCACGGCGTGGTTGCCGAACATGTTTACGAAAATGCTAACAAAATTACTATTCATTATTCAGTTTTAGTTGTGAAATTAAATTCA